GAATTCTTGCAGCCCCTTTCATGAAGGAATTGGCAAGAGGAGACATAAAAAGCTTCCTATGTTGAATCAATCATACAAAAATTAGAATAAGCAGATGATAAAAAAACAAAAAGCATGCAAAAAGTTGAAAACATAAAGGAAAGGTAAAAAAAAAAAATGAATTACCGATGTCATTGAAGGTTTATATGTGTAAGAACTCTTTGGTCTCTTGAACAGGGAAGAACATGCAAAATTCGAGAAACAAAGTAGTAGAGAGAAACGAAGAAAAGCAGAATTGAAATAAGATCATTAATAGCTGGCGTGGCTTTTTTTGGGTATTGTACAGTTTGCACCGCGTTTGTATGTAACTGTCTTTACCATTTAAAGGATATGCTGGCATCACGTCTCACATCAACCCATTTATACCCGTTTTGAAGTCTTTATCTTCTTTTACGTTTAAATATATTCTTAAATTTTATAAATATGATTAAATTTAATTCTTATTTTAATATTTTTGGTCAGTTTTAAGTTTTACATAATTTTGTATTTTTTTATAAAGGTATGTTATTATTTTAAGATAAGTGACATGCATCTAGTTTTATTATATTAATATTTCTTTTAAAATTATCAACGATATGCAGTAATTAAATGCATATTACGTAATCAGTAAATGATAATAGAACTAAATATAAAATTTTTAAAATTTATGAGGGTGAAAAATAATTAAAAATTAAAAATTTAAGTTAATTATATTTATGAAAATTAAAACTATGTTTCGCTTTTATCGAAAAAAGTTTTGATCATTTTTTTTTATTTAACACGGGTATTTTGAATAAACTGAGTTGAATTTTGAATAAACTCATTTTTTTTTATCTATTTCACTCATGTAACCATAATAGGAACCCAAATAGGTTTTTTTTATGTATTTTCTTAATTGGGTATAAGTTACATATTTTATATGAGATGTGAAATGAATAAAATAAAAATAAATGGAAAATATATGTAACACCTTAATTTAATTTTTTAAAATAAATCAATTTCATAAAAATAAAAATAATAAAAGGTTCCTAACACATGATTTCAATAAAGTCTTTCAAAATAAATGTAGATTACAAATTTGAATCAATTATTTCTACAGGACTTAATTAATATATTTCAGCTCTAAAAATAAATATTCTAAGCCCTATAAATAACAATGTCATCCATCCCTTCACTGAGTCTGGTATTGATCGCTTTGGTCACCTGAAAAATGAATGTAAGAATGAATATTCTACACTATCACACGTAAGCACAGAGACTCACCTCACGCACTATACATTTTTCTAACATTATTCAAATCACCCATCAAGCAGATGTAAAATAATACATTTCAACATTCTTTTTCAATTCACAAACAGGTGTGTTAATTGCACCATCAACCAATTCACACACACGTGCGCTTACTATACGTAGTCACGCTCACTGTGATTACATATTTCTAATGCCCTCAACTTCAGGGATTTACTCAGTTTCACACCATAGATGGTCGTCAGATAGCTCCCTCTCCATGGATACAACGTGTGCTATATTGAGCCACAAGCAAAGGTATTAGTCAAAGGTCGAGTTAGGAGGAGAGTGTGCTGCCTGTGGTGCACTCACACTCACTGTTGGTGTCACCACCACCCTCTCTTCCTCAAGGTATCTCTACCGCCGTCATCTTCCACACCCCCAGTATATCGTTAAACTATTCATAGTTTTCTAACATATTCAAAAACAACCAACATGTTATTCACACATATTTACCCATTTCATATTGTTCATCATCCATCAATGGCATGCAACCATATATAATCACCCACATTTTCAATTACATCATAGTTTTTGTCTTCACACATCGCATGTACACACATAATTGCTCACATTACACTTAAACACACTACAATTCCATCACAATCCCATGTCAATCAAATTCATTTCATCACACACATCACCCAATAACTTCCCTATCATATTTCACATGAAATTTCTACTAAGGTACACACTTTCCTACATTTTATCTCAACCACATTTCATTATCTAGTTCTAACAACAAATTTCAAACCAAAAGAGATAGGGTAGAGTCCCCCTTACCTCAGAGTGAAGACCCAAACAAAAAATCAACAATAGGAACATTTCCCACACTGATTTTTGTCCTAAACATATGGAAAACTCCATGAAAAACTGAGAAAGTGAAGGAAAGGGACGAAAATCAAAATCCTAATTCTTAGAACTTATCTCTAAGCGCTCTAAACATGGTTCTATCCTTCAATCTCATTCTCAAATGGCTTTGGAGGCAATTTAATCGGTGAAAATAGGTTAATGGTAGAGAGAATTGAAAGAGAGAGGAGAGGAAGAGTGAGAAATGAGTTTTTCCGAACCCTAAACCTCTCAAATACCCTTCTGATCGCGATACTCTCACTACATCGAGACATCCCTCGCTGCAGTGACACCCCTTCTCGCTACAGTGAAAATATCAGAGGAAACTGCACTATGATTTCTGCGGAATCTCGCTACAATGAGGCCCTCTTGCTACAGCAAGAGTGCAATCCAAAAATGCACCTCTCTCTATTGCCTTCTCGCTACAATGAGAAGACTCTCGCTAAAGCGAGAACACAATAGAATCATCCAATGTAGCGAGAATGTCCCTGCAGCACACGCTTTAGCCTATTCTATCAATCAATCTAAACCAATCACAAGTCAAACATGTCTAATCTTAACCCAAATCAATATTCACATTCATACTCACGTATTTATCCACTTATATTTACACATCTGTATTCACATCATCATCCAATAAACACCATCATCACATAACTCAAACACACAAACATATAACAATCCACATACACTTACATTAAAATATTATTGTTAATCTAGAGCGTTACAATATATACAAAATATAAAAATTAAAATTCACTTTTTTCACTTTTGAGATTATTTTAAGTTTTAACCGGCATACGTCTTCACATAAAGTCGAAGTAGCATAAAAAATAAATGTTCACTTCAAAACTAAAAAGAAAGCTCAAAATTCAAAACATAAAATCCATTAAATAATTTTTTAATTATTATTGGAAATTCAGAAAATAGATAAAATAAATAAACTAACGAACCAGACTACAAGCAAACGAGTTTGGCAATGAGCTTGGTTTAAAATACATTAGTTTAAGAGCATAAGTTTGATGCACTATTAATATTAAAAAGTTTGCTTCCTAGCTAAATAAAAATTATTTTAGATAATATTTTCAAAATAATTATTACATAAGAATAATTTTTAAATATATAATTTATAATAATGATAATATAAAAAATTATTACATTATCAATATTTTCTAATTAAATTATTAGTTTAAGAGCTTACTTTTGATACACTATTAATGTAAAAAATTTTACACTTTCAACCAAATAAAAATCACATTAGATTTTTAACTTCTTTATAAAATAAAGAGTATATAAAGTGAAAAAGTAAAAAAAAAAAAAAAAACTATCCACATTAATTTGAATTTAAAGTATTTATAAATATTACTGACTTTAAAACAATAATAAATAGATTCTCATTTTCTCCCTTTATACGTCTTCTCACTCAAGCTTGAAAAATAATTATTACAAATATTAATGATTTTTTAGTGACTAAAAGGTATCATAATAAAGAGAGTAAATCAAGAAGAGAATAGGTTAATGAAAGACAGTTTATCATCTCAAATTTGAATTGGTAATACAAGAATTGTGTAGATACACTTGTACAAGATTCTAGAAGTTTATTATTACAATAGAAAATAAGCTATTGATTTTTTTTTTCTAAAACAAACCATAAGTTCAACTCATAAAGAAGTAGTTAATACAAAAGACAAATTCTTCAGAGAGAAGTGCTAAATAGTTCAAAAAACTTTTGCAAGAATTAAATGAATGCATCATGTCTTAATTTAATTAGTTTAAATAATAAAATAATAAAATTAACAAAAATCAAAATAGTAGAGGTATATATCTGTTTCATCACTTTTCACGTTTGTTTTTCTTACAAAGTAGTAATTCTTTTTTTCAAAAAACAAAAAGTTTTAATAACAGATTTTGATAATTGAAGATCATTAAATCTTAGGTGAATTTTATATCATATTTAACAAATTTATTTGTAAGAGATTGTTTGTAAAACAATTAATAAAGTACAAATAATATGAAAGAACCGATTGTTTCTAAAAAGAAGAAAAAAAGACCTCCACAACTATCATGCTCAAAAGACCAACAAAGCAAGCCAATTAACCAACAAAGCAAAATAATCTTTGAAAAGAGTAAGATTATACTTTTTTAAATGATACAAAAGTATCTTTCTGATTATTTCTCACTCTTTACACCAAAATAAGAAAAAATAATAATAAAACACTTTAAAGTGCAACAAATGACTTGAATGTGTCTAATGTAAGCTTTTTAACTCAGAGTGTCCATTTGATGTTAGGAATTACGGATAGAATTGAATGTAAAAATTGGAATTGGACTTTAAAATTTTAAATACCATACTTAAATGTCCATTTAGAATTGAGATTATAATTTTATGAACCAATTCCATGGAGTTTTATAAAAACTAAATTTGATCAACTTCAATTCTTAACTTAGTGAATTTGAATTCCTAATATCATAATTCACAAATATATTCTCTCACTTATCATGCCTTCTCTTTGTCTCCATAATTTCTCATCTTGTGGTTCTTATTCTTCCCTATATACTTTATTTTCGAAATACTTTCTCCCTCTCTCTTTATTTGTTCTCTTTTTCTCCTATGCATCTTTCTTCCTCGTCTTATGTTTTCATATTTTTCTTTTCTTTTCTTCTTTTAACTCTACCTTTTATGTTAATTATTAATATCACTTTTTTTTTCTATATTTTCTTTTTTTTCTCTATTTTTCTTTCTCGTTTTACATTGATTATTAATAAAAGTAATTTTTTTCTAGTTCTCATCCTCTTTTTATGGATCTTCTTCTTTCTTTCTCCTTTTTTACATTTGTTATATGTTAAATATGTCTACTTTACTGTGTCGTATTACTATTCTGCACTTACTGCAAACTATATTATATTGTTATTCTACATTTTTTACACTTACCACAAATTGTATTGTTTATGTTACTTGTATAATAAATTGTTTAATACTTTTCTTGAATTGTTAGATGTTGGAGGAAATATTAGAAATTAATTCAAGAACTATTGAGAGTATAAGGGAAACAAAAAAGAGAAAATTAATGTTATATGCAATAGAGTGATAAAAACACACTAGAAAGTATAGTTTTAAGGCGATTATATCATGAGACTGATAAAAATTGTTATAATCAATTATGTTTTACTAACCAAGTTTTTTGAGTTTTATAACATTTTACGTGATATAAAAATTGTTATAATTAATTATGTTTCACTAATCAAGTTTTTTGAGCTTTATAACATTTTACGTGAAAGAGGAGGACTACATAATATTTATCATATAAGCATAGAAGAAATAGTTGCAATATTTTTACTTATTTTAGCTCATGGTCTTAAAATGAGAATTTCTAAAAATATTTATATTCAATTTATATTTTTAATTTTGAGAATTATATTATATTTATGAACATTCGTATATTTTCATCTAATTTATGAAAAAATAATTCATAAATAATATTAAATTTTAATGATAAATTAAGCATAAAAATTATATTTGTTGTGTCATAATTTTTGAAAAAATTGGCAAGGAAGAGAGTTTCTCAAATATGTTTAACAGAAACAGACATAATTTATATAGAAAACTATCTCCGAAATATACATATATTTGTGTTTGTGGCGCTTAAAACATCCAATTCTAAATAAATTCAATAATTTTCAACACCATCAATACAAAGGATGCAACCTACCATACAAAATACATAAGAGCAAGAAAAAAAAGTAATTTAATTCAAAATAGAATAAATGCAATCCAATTCTAAATAAATTTTCAATAATCTTTACCATACAAAATACATAAGAGCAAGAAAAAAAAGGTGATTTAATTCAGAATAGAATAAATGCAATTTGCCTAAATCAGGAAATATAGGAGATGAAACTGAAGTGGATTTGTCATGAGAAAAGTTCAAGGAAACAATCAGTTATAGCAAGATTAGATAGCAATACCAGTAGCAATCAAGCAAAATTTATGGTATATTTAAGAGTCAGAGTAAATGGATAACTGGAAACAGAGAATTGACATAATTTCTGACTAGAGCAGTGAGAAACTAAAACATTGGGCAACTGCAAGAAACTGGAATTGGAGCTAACGAATCAGAAGAAAAGAAAGTGTGGAAAACATGATTCTACTAAAAAATCTTTTGCTTTTCATGATAGAAAAGTATAATAGCACCAATTGGAAAAACTAGCAAAGATTATCTTCTCTCTGTCTGGACAAATAATTAGGAACTGAGGTAGTAGTAGTACTAAAAACAATTATTGAACAAGCCATCATAAAAGAATGTGTAAATGTAAACTTTAAGTCAGTTACAAAATTAAATACTAAATACAGGACTCAATTATTATCTTATGATTACAAAATTTAAGAAGATGCAAGACAAGCATCCTATCACCACTTTTAAACAATTTTTTCTATTTTAATGCCCAAGTAAGAAAATGCTCAGGGAAAAGAATAATTTTCTAAAAGGATCAAACTCTCCTTCCAAATATTTGAGCAGAATACCAACAATAGTTCCGCAAAAAGGGTTACGTCTCTATTTTTCTTATAAAAGTAAAAGAAAACATTGACTGTGATTTTTTCCTTCTCGGGCTAAGGATACAAAAGCCTCAAGCGATGATGGACCAGAATGTACAGAGGTAACAAAATATTATTTGACTATGCTAATTTCAATGTATTAAATTACTTATGGACTTTCTTGTGTAGGTGAGTGATAAGTTTCACTTCTATCAAATGATTTACTTCTCCGGGGAACACCAGCCAAGTTGTAGAATTCAGTCAATGTTTTCCTAATTTGCACTTTCTTTTTTTTATCTTCAGGACGAGGTCCTAAAACACCTAAATCAATGGTTCCACCAAAAGCCTGAGAGGATTGTACAACTGCATCATAAGCTTTTGAAGAGAGGACTAGGCCTTCATTCTTAGCTCTCACATATAATTGATATGCCAACCTTGGCTTTCCATCATTTGCAAGAGCCTCAATCAGCATTTCATAAGTTATCTCATCGGGGGAGATGTTCTGAACTTTCATTCGGTGAAACCATTCATATGCTGCACTACTCATACCATTCCGTGCACAACCAGTAATTATTGCATTGTATGTCACTACTGTTACCTCAATCTTTAATGTTACCATCTCCTGAATGATGGCATCAACTCTATTAAAATTTCCTTGTGCGGTATAAACCGAAGCCATAATTGTGTAGATATATGCATTTGGTTCGACCCCAACCTTGACCATATGGTTCCACACAAGGAGGGCCTCATCATAGAGTTTTCCCTTTTCAAGAGCACTCAATAAAGCCCCGTATGAAATTATAGTTGGTTTTTCACCATTTTCCACCATTCTCTTAAATATTTGCACAGCTGCAGTAGTTTCTGAAGCCTTAGAACAGGCCACAAGCACCGCATTCCATTCTTTACTTCCAGGTTTTAGGCCTTTATCTTCCATCTTGTTTAATAACTGGACACCCCATCTCCAAATTCCTTTCCTCTTGGCTGCACTGAGAAGAACATAGAAGTGAGAGATTATCAGTTCATATGACAAGTTATTTGGCTTCGGCCCTTTGTCCAATAAATCTTCATATACCTCCAAAGCTGCCCACCACTTCTTTGCTTTCCCCATCAACCAAATTACATGGTTGCAGACAGACAAGCTGATCTTATCGTACGTTCCTCTTATCCGTACGTACAGCTCTTTTACAACAATGTAGTGATCTTGGCGGGTACAAGCCCAGACCAGCCGCTCAAGTTCTGCCCGCGTCAGTGGAATCCCAGCACTATCCATATCGACAAGAAACTTCAATACATTGTTGCTTAAGTTATCATGACTGACTAGCCAACTGCGCATTACTTGATAGCAAACACGGATTGTAAACTTCTCAAGCTTCATGAATTCTTTCTCCCAATCTTCTCCATCGCCATCTTTTCCAGTTTTACCTTGATGGTATTTTTCTCTAAACTCAACAAAGAAATTTAGAGCTCCATAGCCATCTTCCATTTTCCGGTACGCCAACAAGGCTTGAGAATAGGATACCGGAGACAGTGTAAGGCCATTTCTCTGGATTTCCTCAAGCATATTTAGAGCTTTGTCACCTTCTCCTTTCTCTACATAAATTGCCATCAAGGTGTTATATGTCACAACATTATAGGTGATTCCATCTTGAGCCATTTCATTCAAAATAGATTCCATTTCTGCAAATTGTCCAGATTGTTTAACCACACCTAATAGACTGTTATATATGAAAAGGTTGGGGCCAAAAGAGCCATTAGTTTCCATCTTCCTCTTCTTCATCCAATGAAAAAGAATCATTGCAGAATCCATTCTCTTCTCTTTACCAAAACCACTAAGTATGGTCGAAAACACCTGAAGGGGCAAGTCCCCCTTGTCCTTAAGAATCTGCTCCATGTCCTCCACAGTCTTTACAGTCTGTAATCTCATGGCAAGCGCTCTAACATCAATCTTCCCATCACACTCTTCCTCTGCATCCTCCTCACTATTGTCATCACCATGCACTTTTTGTTCATAGTCATTGTCCTGGACTTGATTCAAATTCAAAGAGGTCACGCCCACTGACTCACCGTTAACCGAAGTACCACAGCAAGTAGATTCAATCTGCTCCTCAACCAATTCGTTTCCAACACCTCCCTCCTCCAATGCCCACAGCAAGGGTGGAGCCAAGCCTCCGACAGGACTCTTGTTTGGTTTAAAAATGGTGACAAATTTGATTTCAGAGCTTCCTAACAAAAACCCATATCTCAAATCCAATCTTGGGTGTCCAGAAAAGACCACTGCCCCATAACCTTTTGAACATTGAAAAACACTAACTTGTGTACTGTAAGAAACGGAAAAAACAAGACCCATTTTCGACCTTCTTCTCCTGTTGAGATCAGTAACACTAGAAGAACCTATTTCAGAGGCAACAGGAAGAGGAGGCACCATTTTGAAGGGCCAAGTGCTTAAAGTGTGAACCATTTCTGAGAAGCCAAAAGGGGAAAAACCCACTTACAAATGAAATAACAGATCTTCTAAGAAGTCACGGGAATAATTCGGGACGCAGCATAAGATGGGTTCTTACCTTCCTTCCACTAAGGCTCGCCCAAATCAGTTGAAGAACGCTGAGCAGCGGCAACCTCCCTTTCTCACAGCCATTCGTTTGCAGTGAATCAAGCGGATAAACCGAGCATAAATATAAAACGGAAAATGTTAACTTTCACTGTTGTTTGTTGAATATATTTAATATACCAAATATTTTTTTATTCATATATATTTAAATTTAATTTTAAAGGTTGAGATTATTATTTTAAAGAATTATCAATACTTTCTGTTTGAACATTAAAATATAAATTTAATCCACACTTATGTATAATTTATGAGTACAATTTTTTAAATAAGAATATCTTAAAGAGCTTTTACTAAATACAGTAATTTTAAGAGTTAATTCTCTTTCACATCGATCAAATGAATTTTTTTTTAAAATTAAGTATTTATATTTAATTTAAATTTAAATTTTATTTTATTTAAAAATAATAATTTATTATTAATTTAAAATTAGTAGTTATTTATCAAATTTTAATTTTCAAAACTTTAAAAAAAAAAAAAACCTCAATTCAACTTCGTTTAATGTTTTTTTTTTTTATTTTAAGTTTTAGTTGTCAAGTCTCAACATTTTAAGGTTTAACCTATGTATGAGAAAAAATATTTAAGGAAAATGATAAATCAACAAAATCAATTTATTCTATAAAAAAAATTGTATCAAGGCTTCTAACATTTTCTAAAATCGACTATCCTTCTTAGATTAATAGAATGGAAATGTTTATTAAGTTTACTTTGGTTAAATTTTTAAGAAATCATTCAAAATTGAGATCACCTCTATAAATATATTGAATTATAGTTTAACTTGAAGATCAAACTACATTATAAGAAGTAACAAAGCAAAAAATAAAAAGTTAGATATTTCGTTACTTTTGCTTAGTTAATTACAAAATACAATAAAATTTTTAACCGCAAGACAACTAAGAAAATGTTGTAATAACTTAGGAAGAAATAAGCAATGTTAAAAAAAAAACTAAAATGAGCATTCTAATATGACAATATAAATTCTTTTAAAATGATTGGTCTAAAAATAATTAAGAAGATGATTGGCGATTTCAAACAGTTAAGAGCTATTAAAACAAATATCATCTTAGAGAAGAACAATTTAAAGTTCTTTAAAATGAATCTTAAAAAATTGAGTTCTTTAATAATACACAGATTTTATAAGAATTATAGGAATCCCACGAAAAAATATTAGACAATTGCTTTTTAATTAAATGAAGAAAAAGCTACCAAGAAAATTTTACTTCAAAGGTTCTTAAAGCTAAGGAGTTTTTTAAAACTTCTAATTTCGGATTAAAAGAATCTTACGATGTACCATGTTTCATACCGAATGACAAAGGACTTTAGTGAAAAAGAAAAAAACAAAATTCAAGTATATGAAAAAGGCTAACACAAGAGTAAATTTAAAGGATCACCATCTTTAAATAAAATTGACTTAATTTATTTTGAATGCAAAAAACTTAAACACTGCAAGTTTGAGTGTCCAAATATAAAAGGAAAAAAGAAGTATTTAAAGAAAAATAAAATATTATTATCAATATGGAAAAACTTAATAATAATGAATCATGTAGAAATAATAATACATTAGAAAGAGCTTATATTTATTTAATGACTAACATTAAGCCTAAAACTAAACTAAGACATAAACCAAAAAGAAGTTACAAATCTCTACAATAAGGTATTATCTTGTTACCTTCTATTGGAAGCATATAGTGAACTTCCTAATGATACTCTTATTTAAAGCCTCTGAAATTTAAAAAAAAAAAAAAAGTAATGTCAAACTTTTTAATGAGTTATAACAAAAAGAATAAGATATTTTGGAGTTCATTAGAGAAAATAAAAATTTGAGTTATACAGATAAAATATTTTTTGAATCAAGCAAAACTTATATTCGTAAGTGAGATAAACACTTTGAAAAAATAACTAGACATCAAAATATGATCAATGATCCCACTCAAATATTAGGTATATTTGTTGATGAAACTTTTAACTTCAATATGATCTTTAAAAATTGTATAGATATGAGACATATCAAACTTTGAGTAAGAATCACAGTAAGATACCCATGTACATTCCTAAGTCAATTTCTCTAAAACAAGATCACCATGTTCCTTTTGTGTAAAACTTTGAACATATTATATTTACATTAAACAAAAATTTGATAAATCCTAGAGAAACTAACCCTTAAGGACCTAAGATTATATGAGTACCTAACTATCTTTTAATTCCTATTACATATGTGCTTTCGTATATGTATTTCTAAAACTAAGATTATATGAGGAAGCAAAATGTCATCTTTGATGATAATTAGTAGAGTCTTATTGCTTATACGTATAAAGTTAGTAAGGATCCTTTACTTACAATTGAAAATGTATTATTATATGTTACAAAATTAAAACATAATTTGCTTAACATAAATTTTGTGATAGTGAATATAATATAATGTTTAATAAAAATAAAATTGTGTAGTCAGGTTCATAGTATTTACCAATTATAGGCGTCACAACTTGTATATATAAATCTAGAGGAATTTAACAAGAATTTATTTGTGAAGGGCTGAGTAAAATACCTTTTAAAAGTGACTTATGATATGAAGTTTGTCAAAAGGGAAAAAAAAAAACAAAAATCTCATCCAAATTTAAAATATTTTTTCTATTTCTATTTCTATTTCATTTGATCTAGTATATGTACACTTATTGAACCTTACTAGGACACTAAATACAGGTAGTAAAAAGTATGAACTAGTTATTCTTAATGATTATGCTAGATTTACATGAATATATTTTTCACTTAGTCCTTTAAGGTTTCTATATATTTTCCATATGTAGTCATGTAAGAAATTTTGAAAATGAATAGTTTAACAAGTTTTGTAAACAAAGTGGAATATTCTACAATTTTCTTCAAGAACTCCTTAACAAAGTAAAGTTATGGAAAGGAAAAATAGAACACTTCAAGAAAATGGCTAGAATCATGCTTTGCAAATATTATTTGCCAAGACACTTGTAAGGAAAAATAATCAACATTGCATGCTACATATAGAATACGGTTCTTATAAAATCATTATTGAGCGAGACAATATATGAACTGTGGAAAGGACAAAGCCAAACATTTCATTTTTTCATCCATTGGATGTATACACTATATCTTAATTACTTAAGGATCAAATTGCAAATTTGGACTCCAAGGTAGATTAAAGACATTTTTCTTTGATATTCCAATACTTAAGAAATCATATGAATTTGGTTTCTAGCCAAGTTCAATGATATTGTGTTATTCATGTAATTCTAACCAAGTTCAATGATATTGTGTTATTCATGTAACTAACTTCATTTAGTGAGATAAAATTTAGTTGTTGTAGTATTCCAATACTTAAGGCTTATAAGGTTTTTAACTTTAAAACCTCAATTGTAAAAAAATATATTCATCTGAAATTCAATGAAAGACTAATGTCTACTAGAAACTATAAGAACTTGAGGATGATTTTACAAATTTATAAAGAATTTGACAAATCAACGGTGAAAGTAAAAGTTAACTAAACAACACAATTAATGATACATTAAAAGATAGAAGAAGATACTACTCAAAGATATTTGAAATACAAAATTCATCATCAATTAAATCTCATACTTGAAGATATGTCCAATAATGTATTAGAATTAGATCCATATTTATAGTCAAACTTATTTTGAATTTCTAAAAAAATCAATGACAATTGATGAAGTTTTAAACAGTAATGGTTAGATAGTGACTATGTAAGAAAAACTTAATTAATTCACAAGAAATGAAGATTAAACCTTAGTTTCAAAATCATTGCATAAAAACATTATTAGAATTAAGTGAATTTTTATAACTAATTTGAATGAAGAAGGTAAAATGATAAGAAATAATAATTGATTAGTATCACAAGGCTACAATAAAAAAAAAGGTATCAACTTCACTAAAACCTTTGTTATTATAGTTTGATTAGAAGTTCTTGCATAATGCTTTCATTTGTTGCATAAAATCATATAAAACTTTGACAAATGGATGTAAAAGTGTGCTATTAAATGGATTAATAGAAGAAAAAGTCTTTGTAAAGAAGTCCTTTGATTTTGAAGATCTTTTTCCAAATTATGTTTTCAAACTAAAAAAAAAACTATATTTTTTAAAATAAACTCATTAGTATAATAGATTGAGTTCTTTTTTTATTTTAAAATAATTCTAAAGAAAATGTTGATATGACATTTTTTTAAGAAAATTTATGATAAAAATTTAGTTTAAATATACTTTGATGATATTGTATTTGGTGCAACTAATGACCCCTTGTGCGATGAATTTTTAAGTTGATGTAAAGTAAGTTTGAATTTTTCCATTAATTATAAATATAGCAAAGTAATGAAAGAATTTTTTTTCATCAACAACAGTACATCAAAGAGCTTGGATCGAATTAGTCTTTATATTATTAATTTTTAAAAAAAATTATATTTTTATGAACCTTCACATTTAGCAAATTTAGTTGCCCAACAAGTCTTTAATATCTTATTTATCCTCAACTTCCTCTATTTTGAATGGTTGATGTAACATTTTAAATTTAATTTCTAAAATAAATAAATTTCACAAAATAGGAATGTTAAAATTTTTTCTTCAAATGGTTCCTAATGCATGGTTCAACAAAGTATTTCAAAATAAGGATGAATTACAAAAGGCTGAGCTGTGCTGCGGTTTGCCAATTGAATGATCACATTAGTTGGTTTCAAGTCTTCCAATTGTAGCATTTTATACATAGTTGATGACATGACATTAATGGAAGCTCCCAAGTCTAACAAGGCATTAGTAAAGGTTGTTTCTCCAATGGTGCAGGGTATGGATAATGTGCGTGGATCATCACATTTCTGCGGAAGGTTGGACTGAGACAAGGATGAAACTGTTTGGACTGCCCTCTTCTTCAAATTCCTCTTGTATGTACAGATTCCACTCTCTTTGATGTAGAAACTCTAGATGGAAATGGAAAAGGAATCCGCTGCTGCTGCTGCACAAACTTCTTTGTGACATTTGCATTGGGCTAGACTAGTTTGGCCTACAC